CTGGCAGGCCGAGTGAGGCGGCCTTGTCTGCAAAGGTGCTTTGCTCGGGCTTTGGGATCTTCTTGAGAAGTCCGGTGAGTGTTGCAAGAGCTTCTTGCAATGCTGCTTGGTGTTGTTTGGGAATGCTCTGCTTTTTGATCCAGGCATCAACGGTTTTGGCCGTGCTGTTGTTGGGCGATGCTGAGGCAAATGGCCTGACAGTATTGGTGCCAGGGAGTTGCGTGATTTTGGCTTGAAGGTCTCCAATAGTAGTGCTGGTTGGTACATCATGTGCGCCCGCTGCCGGTACGGCAGTGGGTGAGGTTGTGTGTTTGCGTGTTCTTTGTGTGTCTTTGGTGTCATGGTTGCCCGGCCGTTTGGTGATCCCCATGTCCGTCAAAGTGCGCGATCTTTTGGCCGTTTGTGTGTTGGATGTGTCGGGCTTTCGTTTGCGTGCGGGTGTTGGTGACGGTGGTGCTTCATCAGGTGTGGTTGGCGGGTGAGGTTGTGGGGATGCGGCTTGCTCTTCGTCAGTGGGTACCTGGGAAATGGTCTGGGTTGCTGCTAGCTGTGCTTCCAGCTGTCGAATTTTGTCTTGGGCTTCTTGTAAGCTTGTATTGGAGAATTGCCGGAAATGATCCACTGTGGAATTCACAAGGTGGTGAATTTTGGCTTTTTTGAGTTGATTGGGATCTGGATCGGTGATCGCAATACCTTGCTGCTGGCAATATGCTGCTGCAATGTCATCTAAATCCATATGCTCATCTCGAAGTTTCATGGACAAATGGTGGAAGAAAATGGACTCTTTGATGCTGCGGGCAAACACAAGTGATGTGAATTTGCCATTGGCTAAGGCTCGAAGGCTCCAGTTGGACCAACCAAGGTAAGCCAATTCATACAGTCGTACGGAGTCAATGGGCCTTCCTGCTAGATGATACTTCTGACTCCAGGCTGTTGAGGTGACTTGGCGAGGAAAGGAAAGGCCATACTGTTGCTTGGTGTCAAAGTGGTTGGCATCAGGTTGGAAATTGGCTGGTATGTCTCGGTTGAACTGTTTGGTTCCTTGTGGGCTTGGTGGTTCATGTCGGTACTGTGAGTCAGGATGCTGGTATGTTGCTCGTGGTGGTGTGTGCGGTGCTGAATGCTGGTGCTGGTGCCAGTTCCACGGTCTGCTGGTGCTTCGCCACGACATGACTGTACAATGAAAAAACGATCGGAGCGGTACTTGAGCACGAATTAGCTCAGTCTGAAGAAACAGTTCAATTTTCAAGACATTCCAATAGCAACTGCTGCTTGAAGGTTAAAGGACATCATAATCTGTACAACGCACGGACGACTCGCTCGGTGTGTGTGAGCAAAGTTGCTCTGCTCACACTTGCACGTTATCAAGCTGCTATAAACTTCTGCTGAAACCAACTAATGAAAGCAATAGGTTCTGTCTATGCTGAACTAATCATGAAACCTTTGATGGTAGTATGGTGTCAATCCTACATGTTTGTTGAAGGACTCAACCACGCGCATAAAATCCACAACAAAAGCCAGGTCAACCTATTGTCGTAAATGGTGCGAATTTCACCTTTTTTCACCTCACGTGTGGTATGGACTCTGTATTGAACAAGCTGGTGAAAATGTGTTGTGACAAGAATTTGCAAACCTGGTTTGCCGTTTAAAAACGAACATATTGTCGCTTGTTCACTTGGTGAAACTACGGGGCAAGAGCTGAGGTTTAATAACCTCTCATTTCCACATCGGTTTGTAAAGTCAGCCGCGGAGCATCTTCACGCATCAGATCACTTTGCGGTGGCTCTGTTGTGTGTGATTGTTGTTCAAGAATCCAAATGGACTGAATGGATGCTATCGTAGCGTGGATACACCACCTTTTGTCCCTTGCCCGATGTACGATGCCATGCGTCTCGACCTCTTCCTGCTCTGTGTATGTGCCCCCGCTTGGGACGGCTTTGTGTGTTGCCCACAAGGTACCGCCAAGTACAAAAGGAACATGTGCCTTTCCGCTGAGATAGCGGTCTACTACTTTTTGAACGATGGTGCTCTCATCCATTGTTGCTGCACAGAAGAAGCCTTGAGATTGCCTGCCTGACATTGTTTCAGAACATGTTGGTAGTACCATCCCGTATAGTAAAGTTCCTAAGAAGCCTGTTTCACTGGTGGCGTGCGCCCAATGGTATTGGCAGTTGCTTGCTTGCGACATTGCTGTAGAGGTGCTGCGTGGCATGTTGCGTAGGTGTAATTGCCACACTCGGTATTTGTCATGCTGGTGGAACGTGATGCGGGCAAGCGTAGTTTGGATAGGCATCCCAGTTGTAACAATATATTTTGACAGTGTATGAATGATGTGTTCTTGTGGTAGGTCAATCCCTGGTGGGAAAGATGTTTCAAGCAAGGTAGCAATTTCACGAACACTGCTATCTCTGTCTTGCAAAAAACGAAAGTACACTGATGGGGGGGTGAGTTCCTGAGCACGTGCTGCTGCTGAGTGCAAGCGCTGCTGAAGTGCTTTGTAATTGAACGGGTGGCAATGGTTTCTGATTGGCGGCTGCCATGGTGTAAGTACGGATGTGTTGCTGTCGATATTGCGTTGAACAGCTGCTTCAAGTGGGTCGTCGGAGTGGTCTTGTGTTGTTGTTGGTGTCATTGCTAAGTTAGATGATGTTGCCGTTGCTGTAGTAGTGGATCCGTGCCTGGGTTGTGGCGCCGTACTGGCCGGTATGGCGTTGGAAGTGGCTGTTCGTGTTGCCACTCGTAGGACTTGGGCTGATAATGTCTGTGGTGGCACCGTTGTCGGTTGTGGCGCTGGTGGCGGTGGCGGAGGTGGTAGTGGTGGTGGTAATAGTGGTGGTGGTAGTGGTAGTGGCGGTAGTAGTGGTGGTGGTAGTGGTGGTGGCAGTAGCAGTGGTGGTGGCATTATTGTGTGTGCTGGTGTCTGCGGTGTTGGGCTTGCTATGTTCTCAGACTGCGTGGGTGCTTGGTGTTGCTGTCGTCGAGTGGATGAACGCTGATGATGGTGATGCTTAGCGTGTCTGAATCTGGGTCTGGACGATGTGCTGGGATTTCGTTCTGACCGTTTTGCCCTTGCTCTGCTGCGTGACTTGCGGTGATATTGTCGGCGATGTTGACGCCGTGTGCTTCGACTTCTTCTTCGGCTCCCACGCCTAGATCGTGGAGTATTTGAGCGCTTGCGTCGCCGGCTGGCGTGATGTGGTGAATTTTGTTCCACTCGTTGAGGTTGAGCGCATGTGGAATGAACAGGTGGCTGTGTGGCTAGTGATGGTAAGATATTGTCTGTGTGGCTGGGTTTTGCTGTGTGTTGATGTGCTGGCGATGTGTGCTGTCCATAGTCAAAAAGGGAGCCAGTCAGGAAGTCTGGATAGTTTTGGCTTGTTGTTCCAAACAATGTAGCAGGAGCTGCTGCTGGCAATGGTGGTTGGTAAGCTGGAAAAGGTGCTGGGGATGCTGTGGCTGGAATCATGTGCATATGTGCCGGGCTAGTAGGTGTTGGTGTATAGAGCTGCTGCTGTGCTGCTGGAACTGAAACTGGAAATGTTGAGTTTATGGCAAATGGCGCTGCTGTGGATGTTGTTGGCATGGTCAGCTGAGATGTTGTTGATAATGCTTGCTGAGGAGTTGGGTATGAATTTGTTGGTGGTGTCTGTGTGTTTGGTGTCCACGGTGGTGTCCCAAACATGTGTCGATACATCCAGTCTGCTGACGACGGCATATGCTCCATGAGGTAAGCGCAAACGCGGCTACTTGCCCACTGGTGAAACTCAACTGCGGAATCAAATGAAACAATACTGTGGTTGAAGCTTGTTAGGGGGAATGACACGAGGAATTCTGAAATGAAAACTCTGAGGAGGAATCTGATGGAAAAATCTGGCTTCGAAGATCTGGTATCAAATCTGGTTCTGAAGAGTGAATCTGTGCAGTGGTTTGACGCATGGTGCGAGATCTACTTCTGTAGCATGATAAGGTGCGAACACCTTTGAACCGAATTCCGTTGGATCAACCGGCGCGGTGTAACTCTGAACAAAATCTGGTATCCCCAGCGGGCGCACCGCCAAGCTTCCCTGGCACTGTATCAGAAATCCAGGTGCGTGAAAAGCACTACACACTTAGAAACACCCCGAAGGGAGACGATGAAGTGAGATGAAATGAAAATTCATGTTTCCTCATGCTGGGTTTTTGGCTTTGCCCAGTTGCCATACTGAGATTACTGCAGGTACACACGGTTGATCAGACCGTGCATCCCACTCCAAGGCATAGCTTCATTGCATTGGGTTTGCCAAGGAGTGCCCAATGCCCCTGCTCGTTGGTATGCTAATTCAAAACGAACGATCGAAACCCATGTGCTGCACGCCTGAAGATGCACAGATGTGTCGGATTGGAACTTATATGCGACATGGACTTCTTCGCGCTAGTTACCTTGAACATGTGGTCCCAACCGAACTAATCACCAGAACATTCTCTTTGATTCAGGGTTCAGCACATACACTCACTCACAAGACACGCAAATCCACGGATTGAGGAAGAAACATGCTGGTGGCGCGTGATAGGACAATCATCAAACTTACCAGGTCATCAAGGCAATGCTGGGCACTGACCTTTCGGATCTTATACTAACATACATGCAAAGACTGCTGCGAACTGGGTTGAACATGCTCAGCTGTTATGATGTTTTTCGATACACTTGCAAGTTCGTAAATCTACGGTCGAACCACTCTCCGCGATTTCGCAAGATGCCTCACGGTGCAGTGGGCTTCTTCGTGCCAGCTATCTAGAACATGTAGTCTGAACTGAACTAATCAACATAACATTCCCTTTGATTCAGGGGTCGGCACACACACACACACCGCATGTGTCAGAGGAGAAACCTTCACAGACACTTCATATTTTGTTGCGGTACCAGCATTCCCATCATTGTACGGTGATCAAGATGAGCGCCAAATTCTGAATGAACATTCCAACATGCGCTGATGTTCTGCGTCGCATTTTATGTTCGCAAGGACTTGGGGGTACAAGTACGTGGGCGGCGATTGTCAGGAACTTCGGGGCGTCGTGCTGACATGTTGTGTGACTGGGAAGGATTGGATCATGTTGGATCCCTCATTTGAGGTATAGACTGTATATAGTATAAAGCATGTGGAATCACGGATTTACACAACCATATGTATTCCTTGATATGTATTCCTTGATCTGGAACGGTACAGAAGCAAAACATGAGACCCAACTCATGAATTCTGAAAGAGCTCGACTCGCAGCCATTCTGCAAACTTCTGATATCGCAAGCGATGGACAGTATCTGCCATATTAGGGTAGTGCAGAACATATTGCAGCAAAAGTAAAACACGTCCTTTCATGATGCTGTGTTTTCTTGTGGAAATGGTACTTCACACGCCCAACAAGAACAACACACAGAACGCATCCCAAAAAGATATACCTTGCCAATTCTGGTCGAATCATATTGTTCATTTTGTTTAGTTTCTTGAATTACAAACATAAGATGCTTCAAAACTCCAAGCATCTGTCAGATCTCCAGGAGGTTTCGAGCCGGCTTCGCAACGTTCACCAACTCTCCGGCTCCAATGGAGCCTTTGCAGCGCTCCTCGAAGATGGTCAAATTGTGACCTGGGGCAGCCCCTACGCTGGCGGAGATTCCAGTGGCCTACAGGATCGTTTGTGTCCAGATGTCAAGACCGAAAATGGGCGAATTAAACTCCAATCTTTGATCAAGGATTCAAAGTGGCTGCATCAACATGCTTGAAATCGAAGGCTAGGACCAGGTCCTTTGAAGTACACAATTTTGAGGTGTTTCGCTTTGTTTTGCAACACTATCTGAATCCCTTTTGATGAGGCATGAATTGTCGCGATTGCCTGGATGAATGTTCGTGATTGCGGGGGCAAACAGTTTTGTAGAATTCATGAGCATAGAGGAAGAACCAAGACATGGTGCAGGAAACGCAGAAGGACACGACTAGACGGGAACCGCCTGGCACTCGTCCTTGAAGGGTAAGTGATGGTAAGTGGCCCGGCTTGGCCCGGCCTGGGAAGTAAAAGTCTTCTCTGTCTCACAGTGTCATAGTGCGCAGCAGATTGACCAGCTGGAGCGGTGGAAAGAAGCGGAAACTTCTGCGGCCATTTGGAGCTGCAATCCAGGTATATCAAGTTATCAGATACTACAGGTGAAATCCAAAGATGACAAAGATGGGTAAACGTAAACATGGGTGGTTTCCCTGCTGATCCTATTGAGATTCACTCAAGCTTAATGCCAAGCGAGGTCCAAACCCTGGGCATTTAGCGTTGGCAAAGTTGGAAGACGAAGGGTGTCTTGTACCTTGATGCACTGCTTGGCTCAGGGTTGTCGAATCAGCTTCTTCTGGTGTTTGTTTTTGTTTGCTGATAGTATTGTGAACATTTGTCAACAGTTCTGGCATGTTCTAGCACTGCCTCCCCGCACATTTACGCACATTTTGCCTCCTGCAATAAGGACATGGTGGTCACTCAAAATGTGGATGGTTTCCATCAAGCTTCAGGGAGCCGCAATGTGCTGGAGCTCCACGGTAGTGAAGTCCACGCGATCTGCCTCAACAGGCGGGGCTCGGTTGATGGCCAGAATAGCAGTTTTTGAAACCCGCATGGAGGAGAGATGAGTGATTCATCAGCAGTTCCTTTGGTGATAGATCACCCTACTTTATGTTGGGCCAAACATGGCCAGTTGGGCTGTTGCCAGGGAATGTGGAAAGCGCATGGAGATGGAGCAGCTCTTTGTGGGTGAGGTGATGCCACTTGCAAGACCTGACTTTATGCATTCGATGCTGACAATGCCAGGTCGACGAGTTTTGGTCACCTGAAGCCAAGGGTTGGGGCATTCGATGGCCGGAGGCGCGACGTGCGCATGTTGCTGTATGGGCGTCCAAGCGTCCAAGCAATAAAGTCCATGAATTTGGGACGTTGCCAATTTATCCAATTTGGCATGAGGTTTGCAATATCTCGTGCTGCCCAGAATGATACGGTTAGACCCAAAGTGCAGAAGGGAGAGCTGCTTGCTGTAAGATGTTTTGATACCGTGTGATCCTGTACTCAGGCTGATCAAAGTTAGACCATTGATATGGTTTCTGTCCAAAACCTTTATACCATATTTTGGAGGAATGAACATCCATTCACCAGCTATTTCGGTGTTGACCAGGGGATTCCATGCGTTTTGACCCATAGCCATATTGTTGGTTTGCACCGGAATTTCACAATCAAGTCTGGTCTCGAGACGGCTCAAACGCCTGTCAGGGTGATCAAGACTCTGACCTTCAGTGACATGGCTGCAATGAATGAAGTTCAATGTCCTTGACAACTGTGGCCCACTTGCACAAACGCAACTGCTAAGTGAAGATAGGTCAAGCGCAACACATGAGGAAAGCAGTCCGAGCGCAGCTGCAAACATTGATCCAGGCATGTTCCGTGTCGCCATGTGCACTGAATCCGTGAAGTTGGCATTGCATTTGCTTCACCTGGATTCAGAGAACCTGCCTTGCAATCGCTAGTTTTCTTGACCGTTACTTAACTTAGGGAAAACGTTTTCAACTTATCTAGCATGGAGACCTCATATGTTCAAATCTAATCTGATTCGACCATGTTTGACCAAACTGATGTGTTGCTTAAATTGGACCAGCTGGATATGTTCGCAGTGGGACCTTTTTTTGGCCATTCTTTGTAGGGGAAGAAGGATGAGAAAGCCGACAAGTCTGACGACTCATCTAGCGAATCGACCAGCGACGGGCTCAGGCTTTTTTGGCAAAGTTGGGTCATTCCAACGGCATCCAATGGCCCAATGGCCCAATGGCCAAACTATCTCCCCATGTTTGGACCATCAGAAACCATCAGAAATCCCCAGGTAGCAGCGATTCGACTAGCTCCAGCGCTGGGCCAAACCAGAAGCGCAGGCGATCTCGTTGCCAATGGTCAATGTTTATTGAATTTTATTGTAGATATACAGCAAGTCAGAATATTGACATGTATTGACAACATGTGTGACTTAGGTTTAAGCCAGTCTTATAGATGGTAAATATCTATAGTGATTATCCAGAAATAGATAAGTAGAAAACCCGACGCTCATTGGAGTACTGGTAGGTCATTTCAGAGTCATGGCCTTCAGGAATGCTGCTAAGACGCCCAAGCCTCTAACTGAGGAGGCCAGCAGTGTTCATCCTGATCTTTGTGGGAGGGTGGAACCACGTACCAGAGCACCAACCAGAGCATTCTCACTCTTTACCATTGGTGTCTCCTCATCGTTTGTTGCTCGGATACAGAGCTGGGTCTCTCTTCCAAAAACATCTCTAAGTCTGTAATTCAGGGTTCAGGACCTTACAAAAGAACATAAATCATATTTTGTAGCCCAGAAAGATAGTCCTCGGAACCTCATAGCAGAAGCATTCAGAAGTCAATGATGGCATCGTTGGCATCGTTGGCATCGTTGGCATCGTTGGCATCGTTAGGAGATAGCTGATGGACCTCCTTCTGGGCGAGTGCCCATTTGTCCCAGCTGCAAAATTGGCATCTTGAAGCCAGATGGAGTAGCTTGACCGAAATGATCTCGTTGTACATGACTATATATATATAATTGATACTAATTGCATGATATTGCATGTAGCTTGGGTTGCGGCTGAATGCTTGTGGTGTTGCCAGTTAGCAAGCCAGTTGTTGCGATGATGGGAGCATGGGAGGCTTTGTAGGGCGTTTTGGAGGCACTCTTAATATTTGCAAATCGGGATGAACAATGATTGAATGGAGAAAGATAATGGTTCGAAGATCAGCAGCATGGTGCAAAAGAAACCTGTTGTGATTTGGGAGTGCAACCTCCTGAGACGTATTGAATTTATTGAATACACAGTTTCTCAATGTTTCTCAGATAAACAAGCAAAGATGGCAGCGCTCTTTGGTGTTCCAAGGTCTACTTTGGTGAGGCATCGTGGGGCCGTGGGGCATCATCAATTCATATCAAACCCAAAGGTTTGTTTGCATGCCCTGCAAGCAGAACGATGGACTTGCACAGGACTCTTATAAACACCGCTGCAGATTCTCCCTTGAATACAACAATATACGATATGTTTGTATGTATATAGTATATGTATATATATATATTTGTAATAATATATATATACACATACACATACATATTCTTTTATTATTACAATTTATTACACATGTAATGTTCTTGTTCCTGCTTTTGCCTTGTATCCGAGTCCTGCAACCGGCCCACAGTCGCTTGACAAGCGGATCTTGAAGAGAGCCATTATGCAAAGTCTCAACTCGAAAGTGGCAGCTTTGCCGGATGTTTGGTGGGCGAATGGCTGAGATATTATGCGTTTAAAGATTTTCTGGGCAGAATTCCGGACTTATGAGGATACTGGGTCCTCGGGGAGCCATGGCTGATGGGATTTTGTGAATTGTCCAGTTTCAGTTTGTTGTTCAAGCATCAAGGATCAAGACCTTTGCTAGGGTGTTAACTCGGACAGAGGTCTTTATCTAAGTGCATTCTTCGTGCAATCAGACCGACTCTCCGATTGTGCACTCCCATAGATCCTTTTGAAGCAAGCTAGAGAACATGAAGCAACCCCATGAAACTACTATGATTGGATGTAGGGAGAAACAATTGGATATTTAGTATATACTTTAGTATCATCTAGTGACAAGTGGACGTCAAGCCACCTGCAGCTCAGGTGATGATGGTGGGAACCCGTGGTGAGGTTGACCCAGCTGCGAAGCTACCGATCATCGCCAAACGCAGCTCGCTTTTCATAGGTGTTCGTCAGTGGGACGTGGGAACGCGCTACCACTGTGACTGGATCCCAAACCAACAAATATGTACGAATATCTCCCCCTAGTGAGTCAGGTGAACCTGACAAGACATGTTCGATTTACCGCAAAACATTACTGACTCTTTTGATGACAGGAGTTGTTTGGCAAGGGATGGAATCGAACCCTCCAAGTTACAATCACATTGTGAAATTAACCCAGGCTTCAATCGTGCTATTTTGAGGATGAATTGAAATGGACATTTCTCACTGGAGTGAAAAGAGTTTGAAACAAAACATTTTGCTTCACATCCACCAGCATGCCAAAGACTGCAAAACAACGTCCAAAACTTTGACACGGTGCCCTTTCTTCTGCTTGAGTCGGGGGTCAGAGCAAGATTGGAGAGATGCAAGAGATGGTGGAAGACTCCTGATTTACACATCTTAAGGTGAAAACGATGCCAAGATCATCGAGGCGGGATATGCTTTCCGTGGAGTGGTTCTGGTTCAATGGTTTAAATTCTGGGTTGCTATGCTAGCGTTGGTGACTTTTCGAAGCTGCAACAGGTCAACATTGGATCGACGAGACTTTCCAAGCATGCCGACATTGTGCTGAGAGTCGGGGGCCAAAGGAAGCGAAGCAGGAGAAGTTGAACTCCAGAACCTGCTGTAACATAAAGTTTTGAAAGTAAAGCTCTGCAAAGTTGAGACTACTGTACCCAAGTCTTCAATCAGAGTCCTGCAACAGCCTGTTGTCAAGAGCAACAAAGCTAGTTTGTGAAAAGTCTCTGTGACGCACGTTTTCCCAGGGTGCTGCTGGCGAGATCTTGCCTAAGCTTTGGAAGCCCCTCAGATGCAGTAACAGCTTCAGAAGCATTTGCTGCTAGAGAGAGAGAGAGAGCGAGAGCGGAAATTATATAATATTTTATACCCATCGAGATGATTGGAGGGGGAAGCGGAGTTTAGATGGTACATGAGCTGCTTTGTGTCATCTCAAATCATTCTCAAATAGCTTTGAATTGACAGTAACCCGTGGTTCACAGAGCAGCATGCCCCTTGAGTCCCTGGAAGTCATTGCCTACCCTGGTCAAGCTATGGTTGCAATGTGTTGCAATTTGCGTGGGGCTTCCAACTGTCACCGCCAAACTGTTCACTCCACGGTTCGTGTGAAATTGCATCACAAATGAGGCTGGTCATTCTAGAGTGTGATAACCAGTCGGGGCGATCTCATAATGGTAGAAACTCTGCAAAATGCCGTCTCGAAAATGACACCAGATCTTGCAGGAACATTTACCACTCAAAAGATCTCATGCCACCTCACTTGAGGTTGGTCATGGAGCATCCACGACGGGCCGAATTTCAAAAGCAGCGGGAGCGATCGGTGAAGCTTGTGAAGAAGGTGGTGTGGAAAAAAATGCTCTGGGGGCGATGGGTTCAAGGCATGAGGGAAACGTGGATGGACGGCTTGCTGGATTTCTTGGACTGCCCACCTCACACCCGATTGACCCAAGATCAAGGAACAGCCCTAAGCTGCGCATGTTGGCGCCAAGGCCTGAAACGATGTGGATTTTACTCCTAACGGGCACATTTCTGGACAGTCCTTCAGTTGGCGGCCCAGGTTCAAAATCTGTCGGCGATTTCAGGACACAATTTTTGACGGGAATTCAATGATGTTTATTAGGATTTTGTGGGGCTCAGATGTGATTCAACACAATACCATGACTGTTACGTAGCTCGAGGTTTGAACACTATTACACTATAGGTAGCACGAGGAAAGAATGCTAGATCCTGGGACCACTAGTTGTCAAGAGTAGTAACGAGTTGTGTCCAGTCCGTCCAGTCCTACTTTTCTTTCACTGTTTCGTGGGGATTACATCCGCTGTCTAAGGTTGCGCTGAACGAGGTCTGGGCCACCAGGATCGTGGCAAAATCCATGGCAAATGGCCATGGGATGCCATTGCCTAATGAACAGCAATTCCCTTGAGAACTGGCACCATTCGTAGCTTATGGGTGAATTTCAGTCAAAAGCTAACCACCACAGATATGGGCATGTGAAAACCCTCCAAGCTTTCAAACTATATAATTTGCCTACTGTGGCTATTCACCTTTCATGTCATGACTAGCATTCCTTCCCAAGAAATGCATCACAATTGTGATTCTTTTCCTCACATCCTGGTCTTTGTGGCAGTATCGAAAAAATCGCCTCTGACGAAGGTTAGAGCTACATCCGGCTGGTTGGCAGGGCTATTCCTGGTCTTTATCTTCCTTAGCCACATGATGGTGAGCCTTGGCCTGGGTGGCCGCTGGCTCTCGCATGCACAACAAACTACCCAACAAAGTAGAGAGATAGAAATAGTTTCAACTGAGAGGCTGTCCGTCACAAGACAACAAGATCTAACAGGATATATAATATATAATTACACGAATTTGCATAATGTATTTCTAATTCCCTTTTGATACTGGAAAGACAGAAGGACTGGAATCCAAAAGACTCTACAAGTGACACACGTTGATTCGAAGCCAGGGAAAAGTACCTACAACCAGAACTGCAGAAGTAGAATCATGCAAATACGCGGCGAAACAGGAAATTGTATCCTGAAAGACACCCACAAGAGACAGGAATTTGGCACAATTTGGCTGGGAAGGCAATATTTCAGAGTTGCAGAGTTCTTTCGTCATTGCGGAAAGGCACTGCCTTGATGACTTTGCAGGTGCTCAACATGCTCATCGGAATCCTTTGCGATGTTGTTCACCAGGCTTGAGCAGGGATGGTCTACGTTCTCGGCTGCTTGTGATTGCGACAAGCTAGCCAGACCATGACAGACCGGTGTGTGACATGCAGCAATCAATGCATTTCAAATGCATGACAGATTGTCATGAAACATGTGCATGACCGGATGATACTGATAGTCTCAAGGCTCCGCAGTCTCGAGGGAGCAAAAATTGTCCGATCCTGCCGCTTGCAAAGACCTCTTGGCTCAAGACAAAGATCCACTTGCACTTCGTTGCAAACATGCCAGACATGCCATCGAAATCCGTAAGCCTCCGTGCGTTGAACCTTGAGCCCCCCAGTGGGCACCTGCTGGCCCGACTGCGCACAAGGAGCCTTTGGGCGGGCATGAAAAGGTCAATGTTAGCACATTTGCCATCAACGGTCACTTTTGACTGGCATGATTCGGCATGATCTTTCTGTAGGCATGGATTTGGCCATTTCGAAAGTTTTTTGCCACTGCTAGTGGCTTACCCGACGTACCGATTTTCCTCCACATATGCATTTGCCAGGACCATCATGTCTGCAGATGAAATCCAACCAATTCAGCGCCAAGTGCAACGGGTGGCTGTGCGAGTGGAAGATGTAAAGAGTCAGATGCCTGAGCAGCCTAGGGATGCCTGAGTCTTAGGATACCCTAGAATGGTCCTGTTTCAAAACGGGCTTGGCTGGCACTTCTAGTGAATTCTAGTGGCCTGCTTGAGTAGATGTGAACGATGTGAACGATGTGAGGGTATTGACAGAGGCACTGTGAGCAAATTTGCTCAGGTGGGGTTCAGTTTTCCTAGGCCTTAGGCTCGACCGAGCCTTTGTTGGTGTGACTGGACCTAACTTTAAGATATGGGCTGTGAGCTGCTTCGCTGATGCCGTTTGTGTAGCTCTGCTAAGCTCTAGTACTGTTAGCATTGTTAGCCTGGTGAATAGGAGCCAAAGTCCAATCCAACGTGGTTCCAACGTGCACTAGCATGAGTTGGAGGCTCCTATCCCAAAGGTGATTTGTACAGGACTGAGTTCAGACAGATTGGTCAAACGTATTCCGTCCCTTCTTCATGGGGAGTTTGAGTGGCAAAGTGGCTACGTGGTTTTCCTTTCCCTAGCACAAGCCAAGACGAGTTGCAATGTTGTATATGTTGTGGACTTCGCAACATTGGACATTGAGTCGTTGTGTTGCCTCGGTGCTTGGGTTGACCCCAAGTTGCCAGATCCAACGCATCCACTGCCACGGGGGACGTACCTCTTGAACCTAGGAGTTCAAGAATACAGCCCAAAGTAAAGATTCTATGTAAAGAGTCAGATGCCTGAGCAGCCTAGGGATGCCTGAGTCTTAGGATACCCTAGAATGGTCCTGTTTCAAAACGGGCTTGGCTGGCACTTCTAGTGAATTCTAGTGGCCTGCTTGAGTCGATGTGAACGATGTGAACGATGTGAGGGTATTGACAGAGGCACTGTGAGCAAATTTTCTCAGGTGGGGTTCAGTTTTCCTAGGCCTTAGGCTCGACCGAGCCTTCGTTGGTGTGACTGGACCTAACTTTAAGATATGGGCTGTGAGCTGCTTCGCTGATGCTGTTTGTGTAGCTCTGCTAAGCTCTAGTACTGTTAGCATTGTTAGCCTGGTGAATAGGAGCCAAAGTCCAATCCAACGTGGTTCCAACGTGCACTAGCATGAGTTGGAGGCTCCTATCCCAAAGGTGATTTGTACAGGACTGAATTCAGACAGATTGGTCAAACGTATTCCGTCCCTTCTTCATGGGGAGTTTGAGTGGCAAAGTGGCTACGTGGTTTTCCTTTCCCTAGCACAAGCCAAGACGAGTTGCAATGTTGTATATGTTGTGGACTTCACAACATTGGACATTGAGTCGTTGTGTTGCCTCGGTGCTTGGGTTGACCCCAAGTTGCCAGATCCAACGCATCCACTGCCCGTACCTCTTGAACCTAGGAGTTCAAGAATACAGCCCAAAGTAAAGATTGTATAAGATTCTCATATTCCAAAAATTCCAAATTTCCGACGGGACTTTTGGGTGTAAACCCGCTTACCCATTGAAAGGCATCTTCATAAGGAGTGCTTTTGTAGTGGCCGCAGTGGCAGCAGTTATTTTGACGCTACAAATGCCCAGCTGAAGTCCGCAAGTCCCAAAAAGCTGCTGAGTGCTGGCATGTGGCCAGTGATTGGGACACCTGATTGAAACAAGAGTGGGACTACCAGTGGTGAGTAATCTAGTAATCTGAGTAAGAAAGAACAAACTCCATCTTCGGTGCAAACCATCTATAGTGCATTTCATATCAACACAGCAGTCGGAGTTGTGTGTCTTTTTTGGAATCCCTTGGCTTGCCGCAATTTTCAATGTTCCACCCATATGTCATAGCTTGAAAAGCACCAGGTGGCCATCAACGAGAAGGAAGAGGCAAAGTTGCACTGCTTGGGGAGGGGTGGGAGTGAATGGGTCATCTTGGAAGCTGAAGAGCCATATCAAGTTTCGAGATGTTTTTCCTGCGCACACCGCACACCTGTCTGATTGCTGGACTTCTAAAGATTCTAAAGTTGAGGAAACTTGATAGCATTTCATTGGGCATTCACTGGACGCCAAAAGTAGAGTACTTTGATGATCTTTGATAAACTTTGGATCCAACATGCATTTTTTTACAAACAGTTTCCCTACTGGCCTTTTGTATCCTTTTGTACTCATGGCATCATGGCCATGCCGCTGCCACTAGCTCAGATGAAGCTGAAATTGTCAATGGCACATGCAAAAGATCATAAAAGACATGAAGTTTCATGAAATTTCCAAGCTTTTATAATCTTGATAATAGGCTGGTTGATGTTGAAGCTACTGTACATTCTTACCACGGATCAAGCTAGATCAAGAATGTACTGGAAGACACATGTCATTGAGAAGTTGCACCCTTTCCTTTCAAATTGATTTGCAGGAAGCTTGCAATAGCCGAATATACTTTTTGAATGTCATTTTGTCAGACTCGACACATGAAATTTGATTCAACTAGACAGCCACAATCAGAGATTGGATTCCCTTGACATAGACAAATTGAATCCTTGCCCCTTGAGCTTCGCCGGATTCCTCAGAGCAGGGCGCAGAAACAGGGACAAAGTTGTTTGGGTAGGTATGCAGGTGATTTCTTTTTCTGGCAAAGAAGCTTCGACACTCAAGATTGTATTAGACTAGGGTTGAAAGACAAAGCCGCAGTATGGGCTGCCACCTTCACAGACATTCTTGAGGAAGACAAGGTTATGCGCCGATTCTAGCAATTGAGAAGTTTCGAGAAATTTCAGTGAAAGATGTGAAAGCGGGTGACATGTTTTTTTTTCTCGTGATTTTACCATGACCAGACAGGAGACTCTGATTTGGAGAGGGGACTATGTCTGGAGGCTTGAGCAAGAAGTTCAGAGCGCAATGTTTGGGCCTTGCACTGCCCCATGGGGGAGAGTTCCATACCCAATTGCACCTTGCAATCAGGCTATTCTGCAGACAAAAAGGCCAAGGTGCGGAAATTTCTGGGGGTCGGAGCCAGTCGGAGCCTGTCGCAAGGGCTGGAGGTTGGAAGTGCTCACAGCAACGCTGAACTTTCCGGCTGTGCAAGCTGTTTCTGATATTTTCTTCTTGTTTCTCGGTAGGTGGTGCTGATCAATGCAGAGAGACTGGACTTTGATCACAAGCTGGATCTTTCGAAGCTCTCAGCCATTGCAGACACTGTGAACAAAAATGATGAAAAGCAGTGCTTGAAACATCTTGAAATAGTCTCTGTGAGATCTGATGTTTGGAACATGTTGTTGAAGAATTTGGATTGCATATATGAGAGAGATCAGCATCAAATTGTGTCCCACCTCTTGATTTCTTTTCTTTTGAAGCCGATTTTGCCATCGAAATCATTCGAAGGAGGAAGTGAAAACTGAGGACGTGACTCGTTATGAGTCTGATGCAACACCAGAAGAGATTATCGAGAGAGTGCCGCTTAGAAAGCAAGAGTTTGTGCTTGACAGATTGGTGTCAAACACGGATATCGCCGGTACTCAGGATGCAGTGTTGATGGTTTCATTTGTTTGAAGATGTTTGAAGTTATTCTTTTTTTTTGGTGTGTGTCATTTGTTTGCCTCACTGCAATGACTGTGAAGCAATATGAAGTGCATTCTCGGAAGATTTGCTTGAAAAAAAACGGATCCATGACACCCGATACTTGGTTTGTTTGACTTTCCTTTTCCGAGGCAAGGTCAGGATATCGTCATCTCCAAGGACATGATATGAATGGTCTTTGATGGCCGTGTCCAGACTCAGTAATTACCTCTGCGGCAAAGCATGCGCTGGCACTTCTTGCTCTATATTCCAAGCAGTATGCCATCCATCTTGCACCACTTAACCGTTTAACATCGTTTAACCAGATATCTCAATGCCAGGAGATTCCAGTCCCGGGCCACATCATTGCAAAGTTTCCTCCTTCAGTTCGTCTAATCCAGGAGGCACGGTGGCGCGGATTGGGTTAATTTCACTGCCTGATGATGCTGCGATTGAAAGAGCATGTCCGCAATATCGATCGCAAATCGCAAAGTTGTCCATGCTGAAAACACGAACGTGACATCACTGGATGTGCTGATGTACTACAGAAAAAGAAGAGCGAACAATAATAACGGTATGCCACGACATGCCATGTCCCGTGTCGTGACGTCATGATGGAATAGAATGCAATACGCTACGACTGAATGAAATGAACGGACTTTCTTTTTGGCCACTTAGATTAGGCATGAATTTGTTTCACCTCATCAAGTAAGTTTCGAGCCATGGCTTTTCTGATCTTTTCTGCAGGTCTTACATTTATTGAGGATAAACGATGCTCCCGGGTAATAGTAGTCCTTTCATTCGTCCATAATGTTCCATCAAGCAAAGTGGATTTGTTAGTAGATTTAACGGTTTAACATGGTTTAACGGTTTGGAATACGACTTCGAAATACTTCGAAACTGACTTGTTGGACAACACTGTCATAACAACCCTGTTCCCTCGGCACCATCTCCCTGGATGAAGGCCGGCACCGGCTTCAACAATGTGGATTTGGCTGCAGCGAAGGCTCCGGGGCGGTGCTAAAGCTCGCAGCTAACTGTGACTAACCAATGCTAACCACACATTCGCATCAGGCGTTCACATGTAGCTCAGCGTATCAGTCTGTTTGTGTGTATGTGTGTGTGTGTACCATCTGAACAGATGTAAAACTTCTGATTGGTTTTCACAAATTTGCAGGGGGTGGTAGCAGGGTCCAGAGTCTACCACCAACGAAGACACTCTGGCTTCCCTGGTGATACATGGCCTGATCAGCCATGCGTACCTGCAGCTCGAATTTTCCGAAATAGCAAGGGGCCAAGCTTAGAACCCCAACCACAATGTTATACAATTTGCTGCACTGTTGTCGCAATCTGGAATCAATTTTGAAATTTACATGCATCAGAACCTTTCTCAGATTTTCGCCGAAACCATATCGCCGACAGTATTATGTTTTTTGACTTATTTTCGCCGAGATCCTGTCGCCGACGAACTATGGGTTATTTTGGGAAACAATCGCCGAAACATCGTTTTGGATTTCAACATGCTGGTCAAAAAACTCTATGAAATCTGGTTATGACTACGTTTGACAATTTCGGATGCCCTACATCGTTTTCGAGAAGTACCTCATGTGGCTCTTTTATTCATCAAATAACCTAGGCTGGTTTGCATGTTTCAGGATTCAGTTCCTGCCGGATCATATAATGATCCATTCATGTCTAGTGTGATTTCCATGGTGGCTCCGACATGGTGCCATGGAGCCAATTGAGGCAACCCTTTTCAGGGTGAGTGTTGACAGTCTTGAATTCTGAATTCACACATTTTAAATTGGTAATTCATCTAAGTAAATCGCAACAGTCGGCCTTTCTGTTTTGCACCGTTTGTGATGTCCCGCGCTTCCGGCTGTCCCTTGAGATCCTTTGTGATTTGCATTCTTTACAGCGAGAAGCCGTGCTAAACGTCGGAAACCTCCTTTTTGCAGCTCTTTTACAGCGACATTGCACCATGTCTCAACACTGGACACAGGCAGGCACACGACTTGCAGGTTTGGTTTTCCTTTCTTTTGATGGTTGTCTGGTGAGGTGAAACATTTTGTGCATCTAATTCGATGGAATTTGGAAGCTGTCTTATGCCATTGCGGCACGACTTGACCACGGTCCCGGTGCAGGGAATAATCGCACGACTTTGTAGGCAGTTAGGGACTGAATCCTGTATGTGAAACCTTTTACAATTGTTCACCTTTGTTTTGATCCACTGAAGCGATGCATCCGTGGAACCCTCCGCCAACGTCATGGCCTGTTCCACCGCAGCCTACGAACGCACCTTCGACGTGGCCGCAATCATCACAGAACGTACATCTATTTGGACATCCTTCAGCCTTGCATCCTACATGGTCTTCTTCAGCTTCGATCATGCCGTCTACACCATCCCCAACATCGTTGCCGTTTACCTCATTGTCTCCGGCTCCTCATGCAGTACCAGGCCCACAGCTCGTACCCACCATGCCTGCACCTTTGGCCTCCGAACCCACGATGGCGCACACCGCTCCTTCGACTTTCCCTTCTCCTTCGGCACCCACCGCTCTACCTGCCTGGCCTTCTCCTCCGACTTCATCTTCTACGTCGACTCCACCACCTACATCGACTATGCCACCGACACCTTTGCCAAGTTCCCCTTACCCACCCCATCACATTCAACCTCCATTACAAACGAACGCATTGATGGTTTCTCCAGATGAACATCCTCCACGGCCTCCTGCAGTTAAGGCAGCTCCCAGACCTCGCTCTGACAAAAGAATGGATCGACCGCGCAGGCCAGCTTCAAAAGCCCCTTCTTCGACTACACCACCAGCACCCAAGGCAGCACCGACGTCATCCGTGCCACCCGAACTGGTTGCATTGGGTTCCACTACACAACAACTTGCGGAATCGGTTCGACTTATTCAAGCTCAGCAACAGGTGATCATGGATACTCAACGGGCCCAAGAACAACGTCAGCTACTTCTCCAACAAGATGGACCTCCACCGAACCCTATTCCACACATACCACCACCTACGCCCGTGCCACCAATGACAGCCACACCTCCACCCGCACCGAAAGCCAGACCTACCGAACCTGACGTTCCAGACCTTCGCATTGTTCAAGTCCCAGCCATTGCTCCTCCTCACCCACTACCAGTTCCATCATCCCCAACACGCAGGCCACGATCCAGGACTCCACGACCACGTTCCCATCGACCTTCGGTACATTCTCATCGCCATCGCCATTCTCCTCCACGAGCAGAGCGACCTCGTTCTCCTCTCCCTCGTCATCGATCATCCACAAAACCCGACAAGGGCCGCAGAACTCCATCTCCATACAGACGACGCTCCCCACCACGACGCCGCTCTCCCGTGGTCCCTCGACGTCATCGATCTCGCCCACGTCCACGTTCCGCGACACCACGTCACAGATCCAGAGGCCGTGAAGTCATACTTCGACCAGCTGCGAACCCATCGAATCCGAACTACATCCCCACTCCCGATGCTGATGACACCTGGGGTACATGGAACGACAGTCACTACACCGACAACGACCATCACCACAATCCTCGACCCAATTCTCCTGCCGGTCCACCACCAACGGAACCACCAACCAACCCACCAACCCACACTCCAGCACCACTCGGCGCGGTGTCCTTCCGAGTTCCGGACGGCGACAGTGAAAATTCTGAATTTACAGATACAATTTCGCTCACCAAGTTTGACACGAATGACATCGACCTCGATGAAATGGTGGCGGCGGCCAATGACCCCCATAGGGTCCGTTGCCTGACTGAACTTGACCCCGATCATGTTGTTCCTCTACGCCGATCATTGACCCCGGCTATCTCGCAGCTCTTCAACCAATTTGTGGACGCGATGTTCGAAAGGTTGGCTCAACCATACCGCACCGTCAACAACCATCGTATTTACATCAAAGCAAGCCAAGCCACCGTCAGGAATATTGCCAGGGCCTTTGCACAATCCGACTTACTGGACATCGAACTCGCAAGGCAAACACAAGCCTTCTACATCGAGCCAGAGAACTTGCTGACCATCACGGTTCCCACAGGATTGAAGAAGAAACCAATCTACCGTGGCGAACACATGGGCACCTACCTGATCTACCACAAAACAAGTTGGGAATCAGTTGCCAAAATTCTTGCGGAAGACTGCATTCGCCCGGCAACTTGGACCAAAAACGAAGCCGGCATGCCGACTCAATACCCATGTTACGGGTTCTTCGGAATGTCCTCAGAGATCGCAGACATCGACCACCTACCCGGCTATGCTGTCAAGATCTGTACCTCTCAGCTCTACAAAATAGGCAAAGGACAAAACCCCTCAGGCCTAATGGCCATATGCCGCTCACCCAAATGCATCCGCGCCCTAGCTGGAGGAAATGACCAAATCCAACGCTTGTGCAACCTTGCGGGCATCGCCAAGGGCAAAGACAATGCAACGGCTATGAACTCAAGCGCCGCATCTATATGCTACGTTGCCTCCACTCACACGGTTTTCCCGGGCTTGATCACACACCAGACTGCAGAGACCAATGCACCTTTGGAACCTCCTGATGATTCTGCACGTCCAGTACGACCTGACCCTTCTGCCGATGCCCCTGAACCTTCGGAGCCGGCCCCGGATGACTCTCGCGACACACCGAGCCACCGCGAAACCGCGACCTCTGGCTCTCGGGACTATGCTCGCCGATCTTGGCACGACAATGCCTCTTGGGACAATTCAACCTACAACCACCGAGATCGCCGATCCTCATACCAGGAAGACCACTCTCGTGACCAGCATCATGAAGGCCGACCTCGTTCTCGACATTCGACCCACTACTCTCGATCTCGTTGGTGAACTCTTTGCCCTTGAGAAGCACCGGAACTAGTATCGACTATTCTACGTCAGCGATACAGTGAGCCTAGTGGCCCCGCCCGATCATTTTGGAGTAACAATGCTTCTCCCGACATTCGGTATTGCCGCCACTTCTTCCTCAAAAGGTTTGTGAATCGCTGCATGCTCATATTGTTGATCCTTTCGCCGATTCGTTTTCACTTCACGTTTCACACACTGGGACCACGTATTATGTCTCACACCTTTTCAATTTCACAATACCCTTGTCTCACCTCGACATTTTCCGCAGCTTTCCTTCGGCAGTTCGAGCGCATTTTGATCTATCATCTCGTGACCCTCGCTACATCATGGCGTCCCAGGACCTGATCTCTCAATACAGCGCGGATATGAATGGAATTCCTCCTTCTCAGCCGGATCGCTCGCGCACACCACCTCGTCATCAACATGGATGGCACCAAGCAGTACCGGCGTTTCGTGGCCCGATGCACTATGCCATGACGACCAATCGACCCTTTTGGAACCCTTCCGGAATAACGCCTCCGCCGCCTACGTCTCCATCGTTCCCAACACGCCCACCATGGACTTCACCTACGGCACCTTTCCCGCCCATGCCGCCTCCGAGCTCACAGACACCTCCCAACCACGCCAACCTTGCACCTCAACGTCACCCTTTTACACCGAGATCACCGAGACCTATGTCATCCCCAGGAGCAAGTTCCTCTGTCAACGAAGGATATACATGCAGACCAATTGAAATCCCGCCAGTGGAGAACTGGAAACCGGATGTCGACTTCCACGACTCCAACAAAATCAATGGTTTGGACTTCCCTTCCAGAATCCGACAGAGCAGATTTTCAAGCTACAAGGACATTGAAGGGATGGATCCTTTACAAGTCCCACTCTGGAAGTTCTTGTACCAGGGCTTACACAATACTTGGCTTCGTCGAGTTGCATACGGAAGGGAAACCTTCGTCCTTCCTTTTGACAACATAGGCACTACAGTATTTGTGGCCGAATTGGTATCCCAACTACGCACCCGCAATGTAGACTTGGACAAACTTGCTGCATTCCGAGCTCGTTCAGCAGGCCAATGTCTCAACCAAAAGGAGGCTACCCAAAACATGGCCAAAGATGTTGCTCAGCTTCTCC